TACGGTGTCACATAGAGTGGGTAATTAGTAAGCGAAGAAGATCTATCATTACAACTTTTTTTTTATATATCAAAAGCTCACTTTTCCGTGCGTCATCTCTCTCGCAAATTTTCCCCGTCCTTTAATTGCAGCTCCCCTTTCGCAGCCCACTTCCACTGCCTCCGTCCCTCTTCCCTTGTATTACCCACTCGCCCACTCCTACCCACTCCCCTGTTTCCCTTCACCATCCCTCCTCCTTCCCTCCCTGCTCCTCCGTCCCCTTTCCCCTACTTGTATTACCCACTCGCCCACTCCTACCACTCCCCTGTTTCTCTTGTTCATCCCTCCCCCTTCCCTCCCTGCTCCTCCGTCCCCCTTCCCCTACTTGTATTACCCACTCGCCCACTCCTACCCACTCCCCTGTTTCTCTTCACCATCCCTCCCCTTCCCTCCTGCTCCTCCGTCCCTTCCCTACTTGTATTACCCACTCGCCCACTCCTACCCACTCCCCTGTTTCTCTTGTTCATCACTCCCTTTCACTCCTGCTCCTCCTCCCTTATCCCCTTTCCCTACTTTTATTACCCACTCGCCCACTCCTACCCACTCCCCTGTTTCTCTTGTTCATCCCTCCTCCTTCACTCCCTGCTCCTCCGTCCCCCTTTCCCTACTTGTATTACCCACTCGCCCACTCCTACCCACTCCCCTGTTTCTCTTGTTCATCACTCCCCCTTCACTCCCTGCTCCTCCTCCCTTATCTCCCTTTCCCTACTTTTATTACCCACTCGCCCACTCCTACCCACTCCCGTTTCTCTTGTTCATCCCTCCTCCTTCACTCCCTGCTCCTCCGTCCCCTTTCCCTATTTGTATTACCCACTCCCACTCCTACCCACTCCCCCGTTTTCCTTCACCATCCTCCCCTTCCTCCCTGCTCCTCCATCCCCCTTTCCCTACTTGTATTACCACTCCCCCACTCTCACCCACTCCCCTGTTCCCTTCACCATCCCTCCCCCTTCACTCCCTGCTCCTCCATCCCCTTTCCCTACTTGTATTACCTACTCACCACTCTCCCCCACTCCCCTGTTTCCCTTCACCATCCCTCCCCCTTCCCTCCCTGCTCCTCCATCCCCCTTTCCCTACTTGTATTACCCACTCCCCACTCCCCTGTTTCTCTTGTTCATCACTCCCCTTCCCTCCCTGCCTCTCCAACCCCAATTCCATTCCCTCCCTCCCTCCCCCATTCCCTACTTACATTTCCCACTCCCCTGTTTCCCTTCGTCACCCCTCCACTTTCCCTCCCTGCCCCTCCACCCCATTCCACTCTCCCTCCCTCCTTCCCTCCCTGCCCCTCCATCCCCAGATTCCACTCTCCCTCCCTCCTTCCTCCCTGCCCCTCATCCCCAGATCCACTCTCCCTCCCTCCCTCACTCCTTCCCTCCCTCCCTACACCGCCTTCAAGACCTTACCCTATAAGAAGCCTATTTCACAATTTCAGTCTCTTAATCATCACCCAAAAGAAAGTCCTTTTATACATGATCTTAACCGTTAGATTTCCACAGCAATATACACGGGATCTTATGATGTAATAGTCTTAAAAAGGAAAAAATATATATATTTTATCTCCTTGTCACGAAACAATGGACTATAACGTGTGTAAACCATCAAAGGAACTGCTGTTACGTAATTTATAATCCGCTTTTCTCATTAAACAACACCCTGTGCAGACCGGTTGTTCCTTGTAATAACAATATATCCGGCATTTTCAACGGGTGAACTCCTGTAGGTGTCTGCTGTATTCAAGGATCAAGAATGCCTTGAGGATTACAGTAATTGAGCGGTAATGTCCACGCTACGATAGTCTAGAGAGAGGAGAGGGAGAGGGAGAGGGAGAGGGAGAGGAGGGAGGAGGAGAGGGAGGGAGGGAGGGGAGAGGAGAGAGAGAGAGAGAGAGAGAGAGAGAGAGAGAGAGAGAGAGAGAGAGAGAGAGAGAGAGAGAGAGAGAGAGAGAGAGAGAGAGAGAGAGAGAGAGAGAGAGAGAGAGACTCGAAAAGAACATAAACCCAAAACGCAAAAGCATTCAAACACTCACCTGGACACAAGCGAAGTCTTCCCCACCCGCGACGACCCGAGAATCACTAATCTGAAGCAGTTCTTGGCAGGCGGTTTCATGCCCTTGTCGGACACCAGCGGAAGGGACGACGGCACTTCAGCCTTGGTCGAACAGCTGTTTTCGGTGGCGGCCGCGCACGCGCACTCGCCGCTGCCGTCGCCATCTTTGTTGTTGACGACCATGTGTTCTCCGTCGTTCGTCATCCTTCGTTGTGGATTGGATTGTACTTTTTTCAATTCTTTTTTCAAGTTTTATTTATTTTTTTCTATAGGGTTAAGGGTTTGTTAATGTTTCTTTACTTTTAGGTTTGTTTGTTTATGTGTTTTGTAACACACCAGTGGTTTTGGTGTTATGGGTTTGTCCTTCCATCTAGGGTTGTGGTCTTCTTGCAAGTTTTCATTTTTCGTCGATTAA